TTCTTAGTGTTTCGTAGTTCTCCCTGTATATGTCTCTCACATCTTTCATTAAATACATTCTTAGATATTTAATTTTCTTTGAGGCTATCGTAAAAGGTATTGCATTTTTGATTTGGTTCTCAGTTTGACTGTTATTGGCATATATGAATGTCTCTGATTCTTGTGTATTGATTTTGTATCCTGAGACTGTACTGAATTCATTTATCAATTCCAGGAGTCTCTTGGTTGAATCCTTGGGGTTTTCTAGATATAATATTATATCATTGGCAAAGAGCGAGAGTTTGATCTCATCTGCCCCCATTTGGATGCCCTTAATTCCCCTCTCTTGTTTAATTGCTCTAGCAAGGAGTTCCAGAACTATGTTGAATAGAACTGGAGATAGAGGACAATCTTGTGTGGGTCTGGTTCTAAGTGAGAATGGTTTCAATTTTTCCCCATTCAGTATGATAAAGTGATCTACAGAATTAATGCAATCCCTATCAAAGAACCATCATCATTCTTTATAGATCTAGAAAAAATAATTCTATGTTTTGTATGAAACCAGAGAAGACCTCATATAGCCAAAGTAATCTTAAGCAAAAAGAACAAACTTAGAGGTATCAGTCTACCAGACTTTAATCTGTACTACAAGACTATAGTAACTAAAACAGCATGAAACTCGCACAAGAACAGAGACATAGACCTTTGGAACAGGATAGAGAATCCAGAGATGAAACCATCCGCATACGGTAATCTAATCTTTGACAAAGCAGGCAAAAATATACACTGGGGGAAAGAAACTCTTTTCAATAAATGGTGCTGGGAGAACTGGATAGCTACATGCAGAAGATTGAAACTGGATCCCCACCTCTCACCTCTCACAAAAATCCATCCAAGATGGATAACAGACAAACCTAAGGCATGAAACCTTAAGAATTCTAGAAAATGTTGGGAAGACCCTTTCAGACATTGGCCTATGCAAAGAATTTTTGAAGAAGACCCCCAAAACAATCACAGCAGCAACAAAAATAAATAAATGGGATCTGATCAAATTAAAAAGCTTTTGCACAACCAAGGAAACTATCATTAGAGTGAATAGACAGCCTACAGAATGAGAGAATATATTTGCTCTTTACACATCTGATAAAGGGCTGATAACAAGAATCTATCTAGAACTTATAAAAATCAACAAGAAAAAATCAAACAACCCCATCAATAAATGGGCAAAGGAAATGAACAGAAACTTTTCAAAAGAAGACAGAATAATGGCCAGCAAACATATAAATAAAGGCTCAGCGTCTCTAATCATTAGAGAAATGCAAATCAAAACCACAATGAGATATCACCTAACCCCCAGTGAGATTGATCTCTATCAAAAAATCCCAAAACAACAAATGCTGGTGAGGATGTGGAGAGACAAGAATACTCTTACACTGTTGGTGGGACTAAAAATTAGTGCAACCTCTGTGGAAAAAAATTTGGAGATACCTCAAAGAACTAAAAATAGAAATACCTTTCAATCCAGCAATAGCACTATTAGGTATCTACCCAAAAGAGCAAAAGATATCATTCTATAATAAAGACATCTACACCCAAATGTTTATGGCAGCACAATTCACTATTTATTGTAAGGATGTGAAAACAACCCAAGTGTCCATCAATTCATGAGTGGATTAATAAAAGTTGGTAATAAACAACAGTGATCTAGCACCTCTTATATTTTCCTGGATAGAGCTTGAGCCCATCCTCCAAAGTGAGGTATTACAAGAACGGAAGAATAGGCTCCACATGTACTCGCCATCAAATTGGCGCTGACTGATCAACACTATGGTGCTCACACAGTAGTAATATTCTACAGGGATTGGGGGGTGGGGGGGTAAACTGACAACTAATGGACACAGTGAGCATGGTAGAGGGGAAGGGCATGCCTCTAATCCTCGCTTGAGTGAGGCAAGGTCATGAAGTATAACCAAAATGTTTGTACCCTCATAATATCCTGAAATAAAAATAAATGAAAAATAAAATACCCACGTATTTTAAAACAATTGCTAATGCCTCTTACAATTGAAGCACCTTAGGTCAGGTTTCCCATTTCATAGATGAGAAAACTGAGGATACAGAGGGCACAAGGCAGATAAGTGAGGGAGCCTGGACTCTCTCTGACAACAGATCCTATGCGCTGTCTAATCCCTGAGGCTGACTTGGATGCCCATTAGCTCCCAGGCCCTACCTCCCTCACAGGTCTTGCCCCAAACAGCTCTAACTCTGCCACCCCAAGGGGCTCTGGGAGGCAGTGAGCTACTCTGTTGTTCAAAATTCAAACAGAGGACGGTTGGCAGGAAGCCTCCTGCCCAACGGACCAACCACCCCTCCCCTCCTCTGCCCACATCAGCAACCCCAGTCTGGCCAAGACCACCCGATCTGCTCTGCCACACGCCCTTCACACTCTTCCTGGGGCCTTTAACCACCTGGTCTTGGGCCAGGCAGACCGGATTCCCCCCTCATTTTACAGAGGAGGAAACTGAGACCTAGAGAGGTTGCCCACCTCTCTCAAAGTCACGGGTGAGTCAGCGGCAGGGCAGGGCCTGGAACCCAGGGCTCAAAGTCCAGTGCTCATTCTGACTTCACAGATGTCTTAGATCCAGAAGAGACAGGCCAGGACAGGAGAACAAGGAACTCAAAGTGGGTCAAAAGAAAGGACGTCCTGGTCAGAGGGAGTGCCGAGTCCTGAACGTGTAGTGGAGGGATGATGCCAGAGGTTTGACCTGGGGCTCGTCAAGACCTACACGTTCTGGGACCGCTGCGCTTAGCAGACAGCGGAGGCGCCATCTTGCTCAGAGGATGGGGGCCGCTGCGCTTAGCAGACAGCGGAGGCGCCATCTTGCTCAGAGGATGGGGCCACACTACGCCAGGCATCTTTCCCATCCCCAGCCGATGCTGCCTCTCCTTGCTTAAAACCCTCCAGCGGCTTCCCATCATTCCCGGAACAAATTCAAACTCCTCTCCAGAGCCCCAAGGCCCTACATAGCTGCCTCCTGAGCACGTGCCCAAGGTCATCCCCCCCCCATGGGCACTCCGTCCCAGCCTTCCTCCCTGTTCCTCAACCCACTAAAGCTGTTCCCATTTCTCAGCTGATGTTCCCTTTGTCTGGAACATTCTTTCCTTAGCCCTTCCCACGGCCACTTCCTTCTAACCATTCGAGTTTCTTTAGGTTCAAATGCCACCTCTTGGAGAGGGCTTCCCTGATCTACTTAGCCAAATATATGAGTTTCTACAGGCTACACAGTCTCTGCTGCTACTACTACCTAAATCTGCTGCTACAGCGTGAAAGCAGCCATAGCGATCTGTACGTGAACGGGCATGGTTGAGTTCCGATGAAACTTAATTTACAAAAGCAGGCAGCAGGCTGGAGTTGTCCCGTGATCCAAGTTTGTGCCAAACCCTGCTCTAACTCATTGTCTTGTTTGATTTTCTTCATTGCACTTACAACGATCCAAAACCATCCGATCTGTTTGTTTATGGATGTCTTGTTTTCCTCTACCTTTCCAACCCTAGACTGTGAACTCCACAAGAGCAGGGCTCTTCGTCAGTTTTGTTCAATTTCTGCCGAAGTAACCAGCCTTCATCCCCATTTCCTGGTATTCACACCACTGTGTAGTCTCCTCCAAAAGTGAATAAAGCTGTCCCGTGCAAGCCCCAGGATCCTGTGGAAATGCTGGAGTGTAGCTTTTGAGGTGAGATCATAAAAGGCATTGTGGCTTCCATCTTGCCATCTTGGATCACTTGCTCTGGGGAAGCCAGCAGCCATGTTGGAAGGACACTCAAGTAACCCTAGGGTGAAGTTCACATGGAGAGGAGCGGAGGCCGCCTGCCAACTGCCGGCCACGTGGATGAGCCAAACTGGCGGTGAATTCTGCAGCCCCAATCAAGTCTTCAGGGAACCATGGTCCCAGCTGACACTTTGACTGCAACCTCATGAAAGACCTAAGCCCAAACCATGCAGCTAAACCATTCCTGAAATCCTAGGATACAAAACTATAATAAGTTAATACACATTTGGCGTTTTAAAATTGGGGTAATTTGTTATGCAGCCATAGATAACAAACAAAGTTGCCTAGCACAGTGTGTGATACATAGTATATGTTCACTTAATATTGGCTAATAAATCAGTTAGGTGATTAATTAATATAGAAGGACACATTATAAAAATAAAGATTTGAAAGACAAACATATTTCCTTGATGCAAAGGTGTACAAGAAAAAAATAAAATAAAAGATAAACATAATATTTATATAAATAAATATAAAATATAAATTAAATAATATAGAAGGGCACAATTAAAACTTTCCTAATAAACTGATAGTCTTTGGATAAGATGCCTATGCAAGAATTCTCCCAACTTTGAGACCCTAAGCTTCCAGGATTGTCAGTTTCTGTGTATCTAATGCTCTCGTAAGTCCAGGATTATATGATTCTGAGATTTTAGGCTTCTGTTTCACCAAGTCCATGATTCTAAAAGTTTGTTGGTTCTGTGATTCCAACATCTTATGATTCATTTATTCATTTATCAACACATACTTTTGCTCAGCAACTCTCTCTGCCACTCACAGTGTGGGGAGATAGGGATTTACTAAAGAAAAAAATGACAGGCTGGGCACAGTGGCTCACACCTGTAATCCTAGCTCTCTGGGAGGCCGAGACGGGCGGATTGCTCAAGGTCAGGAGTTTGAAACCAGCCTGAGCAAGAGCGAGACCCCGTCTCTACTATAAATAGAAAGAAATTAATTGGCCAACTAATATATATAGAAAAAACTAGCTGTGCATGGTGGCACTTGCCTGTAGTCCCAGCTACTCGGGAGGCTGAGGCAGTAGGATTGCTTGAGCCCAGGAGTTTGAGGTTGCTGTGAGCCAGGCTGACACCATGGCACTCACTCTAGCCTGAGCAACAAAGCAAGATTCTGTCTCAAAAAAAAGAAAAGAAAAAAATAACAGTTTTTGCCCTCCTGTGGCTCACGAGCTGATGGGACACAGGCAAGCTCACAGGCACACACGAAGCACAGTGAACTTTGTCACATGGGTGAGCACAGGAGCTGGGGTGAGAAGTGTGAGGAGGGAAGAGGTACCAAGCGAGACTAGTTGGGAGGGACGTGAGCGGATACTGCACCCAGAGGAAACAGAAAGAGGGCACTTCAGCCAGAGAAGGGGGTGCTGGTGCAGACGGCGCTCCAAGCAGAGGCATCAGCATGTGCAAAGGCGCAGGGATTAGGAGGAAGGAGAGAGAGACAGGGCACATAGTGCATCTGGTGAACTAAAACAAGTTCAGTGTGTGTTAGAGTAGAGTTGGGGGATGGGGGCAAAAGAGGGGTGGAGTGGTGACAGACTGTGGCCATATGACAGAGCGGACCTAGCAGACCATGTCAAGGAGTTTGAACTTTATCCTGAGGGCAAAGGGGAGCCAGTGAAGGGTTTTAAGGGAAAGAGTGACACGGACTGCTTAGTAGTTTGCAGAGATGCCTCCAGCTGTGCGTAGGTCTGAAAGGAGGAGAGACAGACAGAAGGCTGGAACGATACCCCAGGTGAGAGAAGAAGAGGCCTGAGAGGGTAGGAGATGGCCCGAGAGAGACATTGCATCCATGGCGTGGTGGACGGATGGGGGGGAGGGGGTTATGCTGGTAACCTGTGAGCCCCGGACTCCTGGATTTCATGATTCCAAGATTCTCTGATTCTGTGTTTAATACTCCGTCATTCTGCGACACAAAATGCCTGTTGACATCACTATATGTTTATGATCCCGAACTCACCACCTCTATCCCTCCTTTCTGAGCCTCAGTAGTCCTGGCTTGCAAAGTGAGGACTGTCAACACTGTCCCTGCAGAGCAGCCGCGGTGGTGAGAGCTGGCATGTGCTCAGCGAGTTTGCCCTGAAGGGCTCAACACACAGGCGCTGTCAGGAAAGAGCTGGTGTCAAGAGAACAAACCAGATCACAAGGGAGTAGCAGGACAGGTAAAGAAAAGCCTGTCCTTATCTGGTGACTGGGGCTGCTCTGGCCTCTGGACTTACTGTTTTCTTTTCTCTTCTTCTTCTTCTTCTTCTTTTTTTTTTAAAAGACAGAGTCTTTATCTGTTGCCTGGGCTAGAGTGCTATGGGGTGAGCCTAGCTCACAGCAACCTCAAACTCCTGGGTTCAAGCAATCCTCCTGCCTCAGCCTTCCGAGTAGCTGGGACTACAGGCACGTGCCACCACATCCAGCTAATTTTTTCTATTTGTAGTTGCCCAGCTAATTTCTTTCTATTTTTAGTAGAGACAGGGACTCACTCTTGCTCAGGCTGGTTTCGAACTCCAGACCTCAAGCGATTCTCCCACCTCAGCCTCCCAGAGTGCTAGGATTACAGGCGTGAGCCACTACACCTGGCCTGGCCTCTGGACTTCCGCCTGGGCATCTAGTGGCCAGATTTGCTTGTTTGTTTCTGGGCACCAGCAAGTATAAGAGTTGGTTGTGGGATTCCCCATTTCTGCAGCTAGTCAGCTCTGCCAACTCCCTCTCCAAGTCTTAAACTCCTTCAAGGGCAGCAGACACAAGCTGGGCGTAGCCAGGCAATACCTAGTCTTCCCCCGGCAGGTCCCAGCCATGCCAAATCCCACCAAGTGATTGGACCCAACTTGCTCACAACCAGCCGCCCCCGCTAGGCCATGCCATAGACCTCATCTTCTTAGGCGACTATTCCATTGGCTCCAACAAGTGCAGCTCTTTGGAGACAGAACCCTCACTCTTCTCCCCAAAACAAGTGGTCTCCTGAACCACCCCCAAGGCTTATATGTACTCCTGCGTTATAATTTCCTTCTTGCCAACGGTTCAGTTTTAATTCAGTTCAATTCACAAAATATCAATAGGCTAACATAACTGTGGGCAAACTCCAGAGCTGGCAGGACCCTAGGAGACCTACTCATTGCCTGGAGGAGCAGATGGCAGGCCAGGGGTGGGGGCCTGAGGCTGCACAGCGCTTAGTGGGAAACTTGGGCTCAGTCTTTGCACACAGTCAGTGTTCCACAAATGTCCACGAAACTGAGTCAAATGAGGAGTTTCAGTGACATAAGCCACACACATGTACAGGCTAGCGTGTGCATCAACCATTTCTACAAGGTGAAGAGAGACCAGAGAGGAAACTGGCCTCTGGGAAGGCAGGCTAGGTAGTGGGGTCAGAGGTGAGAGGAAGACCTACTTTCCATTTTATGACCTTCTGCACCTTTTCAAATGTTGTATTTTCACCAAGTGCATACAGAACAGTCAATCAATGAAACAAACAATCACAATGACATAAACAGTCAGTGAGCCAGGCTCTTTTGAAAGTCCTTGGCTTTGTGCGTGCTGTTCTCTCTGGTGAAATACCCTTTCCTGGGGTTTCTCCACCTGGAAAACCACACATCGTCCAAGATGCACTCACATGTCCTGTCTTCTGGGGCCTGTCCCCACCTCCCCGTGATGGCTCTTCTCCGTGGGCCACCACTTCCACAGGCACACACCGGCCACCCCTCTGTCCTGCTCTGTGGCCCGGGAGGCACCCACGCCTTCTGACTTCCCTTCGCATTCAGCCAAGGGGATGAATCAATGGGAGGCTAAAGGGCAGGATGGGGGAGAAGTGGGTGTTTATACCGCCACCCACCCTTCCTTGTTTTGCCTTAATTTTGGAGGAGGCTGCATTTTTCCATGACCTCAACTCCCATCTTGGCCTTCCTTCCACTTGGCCTTCCTTGGCTCCAGCTACCCCTGGGTCAGGTGACACTGTTTTCTCTCTCATCCCTTCAAGCCTTGGGGTGCTAACAGCTCCCCGCCATTGCTAGTCCCTGGGTGCCGCACCTCTTTAAACACTTCCTTCCTTAAACTTGCTCCAGTTAAGCCAGTGGTTCTCAACATGGGGCAACTTTGCCCCCCTGGGGACATTTGGCCCTGTGCTGGAGACATTTTTGGTTGTCACGCCTGGTGGCGGGACTGCTACTGGCATCTAGCGGGGAGAGGATGGAGACGGTGCTAAACATCCTGCCACAGCCGGGACAGTCCCGCCGCAACAGAATTTTCCAGCCCCAAATGTCAGCAGTGCTGAGACTGAGAAACCCCGACTTAAGCCTTTGGGACTCCAGTTGCTGCCTGAGCCGAGTGGGACAGTTCACGGCTGGGCGTCCTGGACTCCCGCTGCCCTTTCTGCGCCGTGGTGTGGTCTGCCAGTTTCCACCCTGCTGCTCAACTCCTCTTACTGGCACAGAGATGAAAAGACCCGGACTCTGTTCTCAAGCCACCCCCAGCGCAGTGGAGAGAGACCGTGGTGAGCCGGGTCCCCTAGTAGCCTTGAGTCCTGGAGGGCAGGGTCTCTGTCATTCCCCACATGGCCCCAGTAGGAGATCAGCAGACATTTGCTGACTGAGCCAAAAGAGCCCTCGGAAATATCTTAAAACAGAGCGCTAGACTCAGTGGCCAAGCCAGATGCAGGAAAGCTGGGTGCGAGTCCCTGTAACGAAGGTACCAAAGAAACCACAATCAGGAAAATATGTACAGAATGAATGATTGACAGTCCCAGGGATATGGGTGGGTGGACAAGACAGAAGACAAGTACCAGCGTCCCATATCTCTAAAATGGATATAATTGTAGATCCTACCTCCTAAGATTCTGCAAGAATAATGTTAATGGAAATCCCTTAGAGTGCTGCCTAGTACAACATCAAATTTTGTGATTGGCACAAAATAGACAGTATTCGCTAGCTACCCAGAGGAAGTGATGGAGGAAATGCATCAAGACAGGGGGCTGATGGCCAGGCGCCGTGGCTCACGCCTGTAATCCTAGCACTCTGGGAGGCCAAGACGGGCAGATCACTCAAGGTCAGGAGTTCGAGACCAGCCTGAGCAAGAGCGAGACCCCATCGCTACTAAAAATAGAAAGAAATTAATTGGCCAACTAAATAATATATATAGAAAAAATTAGCCAGGCATGGTGGTGCATACCTGTAGTCCGAGCTACTTGGGAGGCTGAGGCAGGAGGATTGCTTGAGCCCAGGAGTTTGAGGTTGCTGTGAGCTAGGCTGATGCCACAGCACTCTAGCTCAGGCAACAGAGTGAGACTCTGTCTCAAAAAAAAAAAAAAAAAAATAGATGGGGGCTGGAGAAGAGCTCTGCCACTAACATGGGGCTGCTTTGCACCCCTGGGCCTCAGTTTCCCAATCCACAAAATGAGGAAAATGTAGGTAAGATTAGTGCTTTGCAGAAATATGTTAAGAGGGATTGACAACATATGACTGAAATATCATTTTCCAAATCAAATCTATAAATTTACAAAAGTAAAAGGCCGGTCTGTTAAATGACAGTGAAATATAACTGTCAGGCAGGCCGGGGGTGCAGCTCATCCTGTTTTGCTCAGGACTTCTCCAGTTTTAGCATTGAAAGTCCTGTGTCCTGAAATCCCCATCAGTCTCTGCAGACTGGGATGTCGGTCACCCTAGCAGGTCAGATGATGGTCACCTTGCCCATGCTAATTTTAAAGATAATAAATAGCTATCATATGTTGAGTGCTTATTTTCTGCCAGGCATTGTTTAAGGACTTTACAAGTATTAGCTCATTTGATCTTCATGAGAACCCAGTGGGGTAAATATTATTAGTGTCCCCTTTATACAGTGACACAGAGAGGTTCCATAACTGCCCAAGTCACACAGCTCCGAGTAGTAGGATTTGATTCCAGGCTGTCTGGGTCCAGAGTTCCCATATTTAACTATGATCTCTACTATATATTTGAATATATATATATATAACTATATATATATATATATGTGTGTGTGTATAGTATATATATATATATATAATTTTTTTTTTTTGAGACAGTGTCTGCTTTGTTGCCCAGGCTAGAGTGAGTGCCGTGGCTCAGCCTAGCTCACAGCAACCTCAAACTCCTGGGCTCAAGCGATTCTTCTGCCTCAGCCTCCCGGATAGCTGGGACTACAGGCATGTGCCCCATGCCCAGCTAATTTTCTTATATATATTAGTTGGCCAATAATTTTTTCTATTTATAGTAGAGACAGGGTCTTGCTCTTGCTCAGGCTGGTTTTGAACTCCTGACCTTGAGTGATCCGCCTGCCTCGGCCTCCCAGAGTGCTAGGATTACAGGCGTGAGCCACTGTGCCCAGCCTTGAATATATTTTTGAATATATGTGAATACATCTTTTGAAATGATGATAGTAACAATGATAATAATAATAATGGAAATAGATTTGAAAACATTTTTTATAATCCTTCAATCTCATCGAATATCTAGTTATTGTTCATATTTTTAATTATGTCATAAGAGCCATAAATTGCAACTGGTTAATATATCATTTAAGTCTTTCCTTTTTTTTTTTAAGACAGAGTCTCACTCTGTTGCCTGGACTAGAGTGCCGTGGCGTCAGCCTAGCTCACAGCAACCTCAAACTCCTGGGCTCAAGCGATCCTCCTGCCTCAACCTCCCAAGTAGCTGGGACTACAGGCACATGCTACCACGCCAGGCTAATTTTTCTATTATTAGTAGAGAAGGGGTCATCGCTCTGGCTGAGCCTGGTCTCAAACTCCTGAGCTCAAGCAATCTTCCTGCCTTGGACTCCCAAAGTGCTAGAATTACAAGCATGAGCCCGGCCTTGAAAACATTTTTGAAATAGGAATAATGATAATAAATTTTTTGAGCACTCCAATATGCATTCCAGAGTTTAACCCAGAGGAGGCAACTTATATACTCACTTGGGCTGCCAGATTGACTCGTCGTTGCACACATCTCAGAATAAAGTATTTTTGGCCACCTCTGCTGAATTAAAGATGGAGTGAAATATTCAAATGTCTACAGATTCAATGTCAGTGAATGGATGTAGGGCAAGAGGGAGTGGTGGGGATTGTGGCAAAATAGGAATGAACTGCAATGTGCTGAGAAGATGTAGCCAGGACTGAAATCCAGGCACGTGGGATTGGGGGCCCACCAATGGCAGATCCTCCAAGAGAAGCCAGGAGTGCATCCTCAACAGCAACTAATTCAACGCAAACAAAACAAAAACACTAGGTGTGTGAAACAAAGCGTGTCTGTGGGCCAAACCCAGTCCCTACCCACCTCCTTCTCCCAAATTGAATGTGTGCTCAGATCATCAGGCAAGCTGTTAAAAAACAATCAATATTTGAAGCTGTGGTATGTTCCTACAATGGAACCCTGTACAGCAACGAGAATGTATGAAGTATGAGCTATGAAAATGTGAATAATCTTGCAAACATAAACCAGACACAAAAGAACGCACCGCCTGTGTTGTCCCATTTCTACAGTGATCAACAACAGACAAAAAAGTTCACGCTGGTGTTAGGAGTCAGGGTTGTGGTGATCCCGGAAGGCTTGCAGGCGGTGGTGGTGTTCTCTTTGGGACGATCCATTGAGCTGCACACTCAAGTTTTGAGCATTTTTTCTTTTTTTGGATATGTGTTATACTTCAAAATTGATACAAACATTTTTGAAACACATATACACAGAAATTGTTGCCATCTGGGAGTATTTCTCTGGACAAAGCAGATTGTGTTTGGATAGAAAGGAAAGCAAATGCTGAAATAATCAGATGACTCTTCCCTGAATGAACGAAAAGAACACAATGGTCAGGTATACCCCCATTTGAAATTGCAGGGTTTCTATTCAACAGCCTCGTGTTTTTCTCCAGGGTTGCCTTAAATGCTGACGTCGGTGTTAAGATTCGTGTCTGGCGCTCTCCTCTTTTACTGGCCTTCTCGGGCACTGGAACTGATAGCTTCCTATGGATTTCAGCCCTCAAGCTTTCATGGGAAAGGGGCTCCACAGCTGAGACGGTAGGAGAGCCCGAAGGCTGAGGTTCTAACTTCCGCCTCTCTGAAGCAGGCTGCAAGCGCCAGGATGGCTTTGTGGGGGATCCACAGGGCAGGGATGGCTGGGAGGGGAGTGCCTGTGGGGGGCAGGGCCCAGCAGGTAGGTGGCTGCCACAGCCACTCTGCAAAGGCGTGCCTCCATTTACAAAGGGCCCTTTCATCCGCTGGCGGCTCCTCAGCACACGTGTCCCCACGGCCTGCTCTGGGCCAGGTTGCCGTGGCGCCACGTGCATCCAATAATCACAAAGTTGCGAGGTGTCATGAGAGCAGATGGTCTGGGGACCCTCTCTGGTCTCAGCCCCACCTCCCAGCTACCCAAACTGGCCACTTCCCACTGCCTCCACTCCCCGCTCCCAGCCAGCCCTGGTCTCCACTGTTCTGCAGCCCACGGTTGCCACCTCGCTGGTCGCCCGTCCCACTCGGGCCCCTAAGTCCCCTCTCCACTGCGCTTTTGTGAAACACAAAGCAGAAGATGCTCACTCCTAGCCCTACCCCCGCCCTGCCCCCAGCCGGAAAGTTATCCCCGTGCCCTTAGAGTAACATCCAAATGCCTTCTTCCCACGGCTCCCAGACGCCGCCCAGCAGCCCCGACGGCCTCCACGGCCCTAACGCCAGCCACGCTGGTCCAGCCCCAGGGCCTTTGCTCCCGCCGTGCCCTCTGCCCGGACTCTCCTCCCGCATCTTCAAAACAGCGGCTGCTGCTCATGACTCAGATGTCCCCACAAATGTCACCTACTCCTGAGAAACAGGCGACACAGGGGCCTCTTGGGAGGAAGACTGCCAAGCGGGGGCCAAGGGCACGGCAGGGAGAAGCGCTCTGCGTGGCTTGTGCACTGCTTGCGCTTCGCACACACTCAAACAAATTCTAATTAAAACAAAAGTGTCTCTTTGGAGAGGCCTTTCCAGGGCGCGACCTCCCCAGTTACTTCCTCTTAGGGTGCTAGAATTTCCCCTCATGAAGTGTTTATGACAGTCTGTAATTGCCTTGTTTGTTTAAGGGCTTCTTTCTTTTTTTAGTTTATTGTCTGTGTCCCCTTCGTGAGGACAGGGACTCTGCCTGTCTTCTCCACCCCGAGGCACATAGTAGGTGCTCAAGAAATATTTATTGAATAGGTGGAAACAGACGGGAGGGCAGGAAGGAAGCATGTCTGAGTTGACCCTCGGGAGTTAACAGGGCGAAGCTGGGGTCGCAGGGCTGGGCTCGGTTCCAAGCAGAGGGAGTGGGTGGCAGTTTGAAGACCTGGATGAAGAAGGCTAATGGCACTCCACGTGAGAGAGCCGGGGGTGTGAGGCAGGCGGGATTATGTCCATTTTACAGAGGAGGCATCTGAGGCTCAGAGATGGCAAGGGACTTGCCCAAGTCGCCCAGTGGGACAGGGTGTGAGTTTAGAATCCAGGTTCCAACTCAAGATTAAACAGAACCTCACTTACTGAGCACCTACATGTATTATTAACTCATGAGGTGAGTACTATCATTCCTTCCTCATTTGACGGATGAAGAAACCGATGCACAGGCAGGTTGAGTGACCTGCCCAAGGTCACACAGCTAGGAAGTAGCCAAGCCTTGGCTACTTTCCCTGGCTCCCCATGGCTACTCTCCACCACCCAGCTCTCAGCCTAGAGCCGAGTCATGACCCTCTCTGGAGGTCTGGGCAAAGCCAGGAAATCCATGAAACCCTCCAAGACCTGGGTTCCCCTAACTCCAAACCGAAAGAGCAAAACCAGCTCTGCTCGAAAGTCTTCTATGAGAAAAAAGTGATAAAAAAAAAAAATTATAGGACTTGTGATAAAAATAATTGCAGGGCTCCTGGCAAACAGCCCAGCTGTAGAGATACTAACTAATGATAGGAATTTATGACCCCTGGGCCCAGCCTTTTACAGGCTCCAGTGATAGGAGCGGGGTCATGAGTAGGGTCACAGGCAACTCCCAGCAGCCCCTTGTGGTGAGGACACTGAGCCTCTCTCCTACTGGCCACTGACTTCAGGGGCTCTCGGAAGGCCACTCCCCCAGCCCGCGGGCCACCTCAGTCATCCATTGGGTTGGCCCTGGTGTCTCTGGCTGCTGGCCTCTCTAAAAACCTTAACCAAGTAGCACTCCACAATGACTTAGCCCATTCATCCATTCTCAGGGCCCCAGGGAAGGCAGGGAGCAGATTTTGGTGGTGGACCAAGACCCAGAAGGGGACAGTAATTCATTCTTCCTGTAACCAACAGGTATTTACCAAGGGCTGCTCTGTGCCAGGGCCCTTGCTGGGAAGATGTTAGTGACTGGGACACCAGTGGCTGGCCCAGGGTCACAGAGGGCTCTAGGGTGGGGGGAAGTCAGGGTTGAACCCTGGGTCCCCAACTCCAAGGATAGTGGTCCCACCACCACAAACAAGACTGGGAACCTCTTGTCCCTTTGGCCAAATTGCTCCCTCTTAGGATGCCAGCCCTCCCTGCAGGTAGGTGTTCACAGCTAATTCGTGAAGACATCAGAAATGCACGTTAAACTGGGTGTGGTGCACCTGTAGTCCCAGCTACTCAGGAGGCTGAGGCAGGAGGGTCACTTGAGTCCCAGTTGGAGGCTGCAGTGAGCTATGATTGTGCCACTGCACTCCAGCCTGGGCGACAGAGCAAGACCCTGTGTCTAACAAAAGAAAGAAAGATAGGCAGACAGAAAGAAAGAGAAAGAAAGAAAGAAAGAAAGAGGGAGGGCTGGGCGCGGTGGCTCACGCCTGTAATCCTAGCTCTCTGGGAGGCCGAGACGGGCGGATTGCTTGAGGTCAGGAGTTCGAAACCAGCCTGAGCAAGAGCGAGACCCTGGCTCTATTATAAATAGAAAGAAATTAATTGGCCGACTAATATATGTAGAAAAAATTAGCCGGGCATGGTGGCGCATGCCTGTGGTCCCAGCTACTTAGAAAGAAAGAAAGAAAGAAAGAAAGAAAGAAAGAAAGAAAGAAAGAAAGAAAGAAAGAAAGAAAGAAAATAAATAAGAAACTAAGGCTCACAGCCTAAAACTTGCCTGAAGTCACAAAGCTGAGCCTTGTACCCCAAACATCTAGACTCCAGAGGCAGACCTTAACCCCCAAGCCATAGCCCCCTTGCCCATCAGGACTGAAAAAAAAGCACTGAGAAACCCAGAGGGCTTTGGAATAGGTGGACATGACTTTGAATTCCTGCTCTGCCACAAACTAGCTGCGTCTCCTCCTCGAGCTAGTCCCTTACCCTCTCGGAGCATCAGTTTTCTCATCTCTAAAATGGGGCTGCAGATACCCATCTCACAGCGTTTCTGTAAATATTGCTATTACCTGGCTAGTCGCTGCTGTTTTGGGAACAGTATTGCATGTGGGGCTCCATCCTATCTGCTTTTCAGACAATACTCATTTAACTGAGAAGCACAGGCAAAGCACCTAACAAGTGAACAGGAATTTTAGTTCCCTTAGACTGTACATCGGACGGCAGGAACTTTGGCTGTTTTGCCCATTGTGTAACAGCAGGGCCTAAAAGAATGCCAGACACAAAGTAGATGCTCAAAAAAAAAAAATTGTTGAATGAGTGAATGACTCTAATTTAGCCAATATCCATGACTAGGAGTTCTGCATTGCTAAGGGTAACTCACCCTTGGCCACCAACAGTAGGAGGAATAAATATGTGATAGTACATTTGTATGATGGAATACTACACAGCAATGAAAAAGAGCGTGTTACTGATAACCACAACAACATGGGTGAATCTCACAGTTATGTTGAAAGAAGCCAGCCACAAAAGGCTACTATAGTTGCCAGGTAAAATACAGGATGTCCAGTTAAATTTGAATTTCAGATAAACAATGAAGAATTATTTTAGCATAAGTATGTCTCAGGAGAAATTCAGATTTAAATGGTGTTCTGGGTTTTTATGTGCTGAACCTGGAAACCCTAAAGATTTCACATCTATGATTCCATTTATATTAGGTTCACAAACAAGCAAAACAAATAAATGGTGGTGGAAGCCAGGACAGTGGCTGCCCTGGGTGGGACAGCAGTGAGTAGAAAAGGAATTAGAAAAGTTTTACATCTTGATCTGGATGAAGGGTACTTGTGTGCATACACTTGTAACATTTCACGAACACGTGCACTTCATATTTTCACATTTTACAACATTTGTAAATTATAAAAAAACCAAACTATGTTTTAAATAAAAATCATTTTTAAAACTCTACATGCCCTATGTATACAATCTTTAGTAATAGCCTGTAACTGATGGGGTGTTTGCAAGGTTAAAATGAAATGAAGTTTGTGACTCAACACGTTTTAGGATCTCATAGTAAGGGTTCAATAAATGGAAGCCATTGTTAAATGTAACAAGAGCGTCATGTCACCATCTTCACTCTCATCACGCCATTCTGGTTTTCTCTATTGCAGATTGATTGGGGATTTGGGGTGCCCTCTAGTGTCTACATTTTGTCATAGCACCTCAGTTACTGCGAAGAACACCCTTTTACCCAAGGCTTGGAGTTTCAAATCCAAAGGGCAATGGTTTTCTTTTTTCTTTTCTTTTCTTTTCTTTTCTTTTCTTTTCTTTTCTCTTTTCTTTTCTTTTTTTTTTCCCCTCCGGACCATATAAAAAGGCACGAAAATCCATATCAGACCGATGGTTCCTAAGTCCAACACAAGCCCTGCCCGTGATAGGTAAGTGTGTCAGAAGAAAGGCACAAGTGAACACACAGAGTTTCTTTCTCCCCTTGATTCAAGTGCAATCACGAACATTATCTAGTTTCACAGGAACGCTCATAATAATATTTGAACGTAGCATTGCACAAGCTACAAAAATGCCGTGACATGAATAATGATCACAGATAGCTTTCAGTGACAGCTTCCAGCACCAGGCACCCCACTAAGAGATACACGTCCATTTTTATCTTTAATCTTTAAAGTGACCCGTGAGGCATATATTGCATTGTAGCCTGCTGTTTTCCCCTGCAATAGTATGTTTTGGGCATCTTTCCATGGCAATAAATACAGTTGGGTCGGTACTTGAGTCAAAGGCTGAGAAACTTGAACAGTCAACAGCCACTGCCCAGGTGAAGATCAATAATAGTTAACATTTATTGAGTGCTTTATTACACTCCAGGGGCTAGGCTAATTGTTTAACATCAACTATCTCTCATTTGATCCTTGAGGCAATCCCAAGGTAGCGTCTAGTATTGTGCAGATGAGGAATCTGAAGCTCAAAGAGGCTCAAGAACGCTTTCAAGCTCAGACAGCTCCCGTAAACGGCGGAGCTGGGATTCAAACCCAGGTCGGTGGGATTCTGGTGCTGGGCCTCTCAACCAGCATATTCGGAGGGCCATACGAAGGAGGATACCAGGGAAGGTCTTCCGAGCAGGGAAAGGAACCCCTGACCAAGCCGGAAGGCAGGCAGGAGGGTGGTGTGGGCCACAGCCGCTAAGCAGGCAGTTTCTAGAAAGCCACGGTCCTCCATGGAAGGGACAGTAAGTAACTCTCTAGTTTTTGTTGTTGCTGTTTTGTTTTTTTTTAATGGCACTGTTGGCCAGGCAAGGTGGCTCATGCCTTTAATCTCAGCACTTTGGAAGGCTGTCGCAGGAGGATCACTTGAGCCCAGGAGTTCAAGACCAGCCTGGGCAACATATCAAGACCCTGTATCTATAATAAAAAAACAAAAAAATGAAAACAGTATTATTGAGATATAATTGATGTACAATAAACTGCATGCATCAAAATTGCATAATTCGATGAATTGTGAAATATATACATACCACCACCACAATCAAAATGATGAGTGTTTCTATTGCCCCAAAAGTTTCCTTTATAAGTCATCCCACCCCCATTCCCAGCCAACCACAGTCACTATAAATTACTTTCTTTCACTATAGGTGGCTCTACATTTGCTGGAATTTTATAGAAATGGAATCATACAATTTGTACTTTTTTTATATGAACTCTTTCACTCCACATAATTATTTTAAGATTTGTCATGTTTTTGTACATGGGCAAAAATAGCATCAATAGTTTGTTCCTTTTTATTACTAAGTATTATGGTATTTTTTTTTTTCAACAGAGTCTCACTCTGTTGCCCCGGCTAGAGTGCCATGGTGTCAGCCTAGCTCACAGCAACCTCAAACTCCTGGACTCAAGCAATCCTCCTGCCTCAGCCTCCCAAATAGCTGGGACTGCAGGTGTGCGCCACCATGCCCGGCTAATTTTTTCTATTTTTAATGGAGACGGTGTCTCACTCTTGCTCAGGCTGGTCTCGAACTCCTGACCTCAAGTGATCCTTCCACCTTGGCCTCCCAAAGTGCTAGGATTACAGGCGTGAGCTCTCCAGTTTTTGACTATTACAAATAAAGCTACTATGAACATTCATATACATGTCTTTGAGTGGACAAGTGCTTTCATTGCTCTTGGATAAATGCCTAGGAATACAATTCCTGGGTCATCCAAGTGTAAGTATAACTTTTTAAGAAACTGCAAACTGTTTCCCAAAGTAGTTGTGCTATTTTGCATTTTCACCAGCAGTGTACAAGTCCTCTAGTTACTAGGGCCAGTCTTTTTAAATTGTGGTCATTCTAGATGCATTCATTTTTTCAAACTGTGGGTCCAATAGATGGTTTCTTAGACTTTCTGAGCCTCAGTTTTTTCATGTGTAAAGTGGAGATAATTATATCAGCTTTGACATGTAAAGATGGAGTGAACTAGCACATATGCAGCACGTAGGATAGGCATCAGGACATAGCAGGTGTTTCATATAATGCAGCTATTTTATTGCACTTGAACCCCCAGCCACCTCATGATCTGGCGACTTACCCTGGGACACAGCACCCTCATCTAGATGAGAAAAAGCTGCTTCCTGGACATTCAGCAAGTGCTGTCAGCCTGGAGGAATAATTATGCAAGGTGCTTGTGTATGTGGAACCCTTGCAAAGCCCTGTGAGGTATGTGGTTGTTTTCCTTCCACACTGCACATGAGAAAACTGAGCTGCAGTTACCAGTCATTGGCCAAGGTCACACAGCAGTGAAGTGCTGGAGCTGGGATTTGAATCTATGTCAGTTTTGATTTGGGGTCCAGAATTCTCGCTAATGAAGTGCCTGGATCAGGGCTAGTGACGTGGCCCAGTCACAAACGCACCTGCTGATGCCCAGGGTCATCTTCGGTCCCCGGGAAGCAGAGCCTGAGGCAGGGATTAGGTATGTGTGGTTTATGAAGGAGGAACCTGAGAGGGAGGAAGGGAAGCAAGAGAGGGAGGGAAGGAAACAGGGCTGTGGTCTCAGGTCAAGTCTAGCAAGGGGACTGGCCTTTTGCACCTTTGTGCCAGTCAGGGGTTGGCCGAAAGCCAACGTGGGTAAGGGGAATAGACTCCTGGGAGAGGAGATTCCTGGGTGGGGGACTGTCCCCCACAGGTGGGGGGTGGAGACCGGGAGGGGAGAATAAGGGTCTCACTTGAGTGGTCACCATCCCAGGTGGCTTCGAGCTGCCCCCTTCTGTCGTGGGATGCCACTGTGGGCTCCCCAGAGATGGCCATCCCCGCAGGGCCCCTCACCCTTGACCTTGGGGATAACCTCTCCTCCGGAGGGATCCTTGCGACTC